AAAAGATACTTAGTTAACTAAACAATTTTTTTTATATAGTTGAGAAAAAACAAAATTAATAACAATACTAAACAATTTTTGTGGTGATTTGATATTATGGTTGAAATTATGTTTATATATATTTAAAAAAAATATTTAGCTTGAAAAACAATCAGATTAATGTTTTTATATTATTTTCTTATAGTTTTGATATATTAATATTAAAAATAAAAAATAATAATATATTTTCAATCAAACAATATTTTTTAAAAATAAAAATAAAAAATACTAAAATCTCATAAAAAACACTATGTATATATTCATGGAAGATTGTAGATGATGCTTTCTCTTTCAAATTAATGTTTTTATATTTTTTTTAATAATTTTAATGTATTAATATTAAAAATAAAAAATAATAATATATTTTTAAGAAATGATTTTTTTAAAAAAAATTAAAAATTACCAAAATATCAAAAAAAAAACACTATGTATGTATTCACGAAAGATTGTAGATGATGCTTTCTCTTTCAAAGTAGAATTTTCTTACATAAGATTTGATGTACCATCAACGTCAAATCTAAAAGTGCTGTTAGATAAAAAGTTAAAATCTTAAATAAATTTAAAATTACTTAATCAATAAGCTTTATTCCTATACAAAATAAAATTTTAAAGATCCTTTTTCATGTTCTAAAACTATAAATCAGTCAATTTTAGGAATCAAGATACGATTACACCCAAACTCCTCAAAATCGACCAAAACTAACTAGTGTTCATGGGACTTGATTGTAAGTTCAACAACAATTTTATGATGAAATTGCATGAATTTTAACTCAAGGGACTTGATTGAAATCACATTATTATTATTGAATTCTATTTTGTATTTGCCCATAAATTCAAGGCTGAAAAACCCAGAAGAGCTTGATTAAGACAACTATACCGTCGCAAACAACCATGAGCGGCGTCGGCAAGTTGCCACGTGGTTTATAACGGCTAGAATGTGGATTTTTGATGGAAGAGGAGAATCGTTTCACGCGTTGTTTGTTGATAGACTGGCGCGTGGACATAGTGTGAAATACGTGTGTGCTTTAAAATGAGGGAGACAGCAAACTGTGAGCTGGAAGCGACGGGTTTCAGAATTTAGCTAGCTATATTGTCTTTTTTATTACAACTGTTTTTGCTATGCATGGATATTGAGTTTTTAGGGGCTCATGATAAAAAAAAATATATATGATAAAATATATTTTAAAAAATAATATAGTTTAATGAGTCTCATGTAATATATTTATAATTTAAGACTCTTAGGTATTAATGCAAGAATCAATAAAAAAACAAAAAAAATCTGAAAAATAAACTAAATGTAATGATAATATAATTGATTTGATTTAAAAAATTTTAATTAAATAAATCAAACAACATTAAAAAATCATAAATAATGAATAAAGTTGACCATATAAGCAGCTCATAAATATTAGAGCTTATTTATTTTTGAACCACTTGTATAATTCTTTTTAATTATTGTTAATGATTTTTATTTGTTTTATATGATTTTTAAATAGTATTGGTAATGTTATTATTGGAGTTAATATACCTTTAAGATTATTTTTTTAATTGAATTTTCTGTATAATAATTTTATAATTTAAAAAAAATTAGATGAATATTGTGACATGCAAATCACAATTTTTTTAAAATTTTTTATTTTTTAAATAGTTTTTGCATTGTATTATTTAAATATATAACCTTTTACTATGCTAGAAAATAAAAAAAAATCTATGGATGTTGACCTAGTTTATTTTTATTTTAAGATCTAATGCACCATTATTTTATTTTAAATTTACATCCTGTATTATTTTTGGACTCTTCCTTCTTGTTATTTCTTTCATATATCTGGCAGAGTTAAGAACATGTAATTCAAGTTAAAATTGGGAAATTTGTAACATTTTTCCTTATTAACTTATCCAGCATATATGTTTGGCGAATAAAAACAATATTGATATTTTTTTTGTTGGGTTCAGAGATTACATATCAAAGTTTGAGGATTCTTGGAAAAAAAACTTGAATTTGTTCTTAAGACAAACACAAATGAGATCCATAACGTAGGAGAATAGGAGACGTTTGACTTTAAATAGTTTTTAAATAAATATTTTTCTCGGCAAATGAAAGCTCCGCCCCCATAAAAAAATAAGTTGGTGGCTTCTGAATTTTCTATCCACGATTACTTTAGTGATTGAATTGTGATTAATCCCAGCATTTCACCCAATAATTTCCTGCCAAATAAAATAAAATAAATAAAAAACCATGGGCTCACGATCATGTAATTTGGCTGCACGCAGTGTGCAATCCGTGTGTGGTGGGTGCCAAGGAGGAGAACATTATTTGAAAGCAGGAAGATCATGGCTTTTGAAAGCTGAATCCCATCCCTACTTCCTTGTTGGTTTAAAATTAAAAAGCATCAACATAAAATTTGCAAGTGAGGTTCTGGCCTAGCGGTGAGAGAGGCTTGTTCTCTTTTTTCGCATCTGGGTTCGAACATCACTATGCACGTCTGTCATCTTCGCGATGCCTTAACTATTTACTGGGCTTGCAGGATGTTCAGTGGGCCGTGGGGATTAATCGTAATGCGCGTAAGCTAGCCCGGACACCCCACATAAATAAAAAATAAATTTAATTAAATTATTTAGTAGTAATCAAAGGATAAAAATTTAGAATTAAAAAGTTTGCATTCTCTATAATTTTATGTTCGAATTCTTAATTGTTTATATGATGGTTTTTAAAGGTTTTTTAATTTTAAAATTTATTGAATTAGTGATAGTGAATGAAAGCTTACTCGAACATCCATCTTAAATTATATATAAAAAAATTAAATTAATTTCTATTAACAAGGCAAAAAATGACAATCAAAACAGATTGGATTTCGAGGTGCTCTCTGTCTCTCTGGGCTCTCACTTCTACTTGCTTCTCTCCCTCAACGTAATCTTTATTAATTTGCAGGTCTTGGAGAGGAGATTCTACTTTTCTAGTCTAGCTTTTCCAATATCTGTAATCATGTGACTTTGACTATGCTGATTGTTTCTTCTTCATCAACTACTTCCCTCGTTTGTCAAAACAACCGCCCCTGTTCTTTGGTTCCTGCTAGCGAATGATTTAACCTCTTGTTTGGATTTTCTTCGTCTATCTATCTACTTTATTGTAAGTTTTCGTATTAGACGGGTGCGCATTGAGTCACCTTCAAAATATCTAGCAAATAAACAGTTACCTGAGTCAAGTTTTCAGCAAATGAAAACTTTGCCCACGTAAATAAAAACAAATTGGTGGCTTCATTGAAAGGGAAGATGGGATAGATGTGGGCTCATGATCATGCAAGGTGGCCGCACAGAGCGTGACGGAAGTGTGCGATCCGTGTGTGGTGGGTGCCAAGGAGGAGAAAAGCATTTGAAAGCAGAAAGATCATGGCTTTTGATGGAATCCTATCCCTTCTCTCTTGTTCATTTAAAAAGAGAATTAAACCCCACTCGAGAAAATCCAGTCAAGCAATTAAAGTTTTTGCTGTTGAATTTCAATCATATTTAATTCAGTCTTTGGCCAACTAGCCTGCACATGGTGATCTTAAGCATTGTGGACCAAATGTGTCCACATAAATTGAGAATAACCATGTTGGAAAAATGTTTCGAAAAATGAAATATTATTAGCATTGAAAACTTTAAGGTGTTGTAGTTAAGCTAAAAAATGGATTTATTTTAGCAGATTATTGTTTCGAGTTTGAATTCAATGGTGGGTTGTGAAAATCTGATGATATAAAAATATTTGTTTTGATATATTGACTATCAAAACTAAATAAAATAGAACCAGAAATCTAGAAATCAAGTATATTAAGTTATGATTTCAGGTAACAAGTGAGTTTGTTTTTCACATTATTATTTTAAAATCAAATTAAAAAAGCTGCAATAAAGGGATTTCTTTGTTCACCTCAAGGAATGAAGATTTTATTTGAAGTATATATATAAAAAATACCCTAAATACCTTTATTATTAAATTTAAATTTTTTCTATTATTAGGTTTATTTTGCCCTATATTGCTAGACATTGTTTATATATATATAAATTCATTATCCATGTATGAACCAACAAAATGGCATGGAAAATGCTATCATCGACATCCAAAGCAAGAAGTACTAGCAACAAGGATTTTCAGTTTATGAAGTACTTTTATGTTCATCCATTTAATATCTATTTTAATTAAAATAATATATTTTTATTATTTTTTAAAAATTTATTTTTGATATTAGCAGTTAAAAAAAATTCTAAAATCACTCTCAGACAGATGACAAGTTGACAACAACCTTTTTTAGCAACTTGGGGAAACAGTGGCATAATCATTCCAAAGTTAATGGCAACAACCTTTTTCAGCAACTTGGTGAAACTGTGGCATAAGACATGACCCAAGAGTTTACATCTTGAAGTTATCTTGGTTTTGCTTTTGTCCAACTACCATTCCATTATCCTACAGACCTTCTCAAGCTTGTGGCAGAAAATGTTTTCAAGAAAAATCATCTTTGTTGTGTGATTCTGAATTTTCTGGTGCATTGTCGGGCCAAAATTTGAACAGCTTTTGAACAGTCAATGTTTTCTGACTTTATTCCATATTTTAATAATTCTTAAGCATTGTCGGGCCAAAATACTTTGAATTAATCTACTGTGCGTGCTGAGAAAGTGCAGGGACAAACACCATCTTAAACATCCATGGGAGAAAGGAGTTACTAGCAAAGTAAGAGGATTTTTAAGACTTACGGAGTGGTTTCTGCTGTCCACCCATTTAACCAGATGTTTTGGGGAGCAATGTACTTTTGACATCATCATTTAGAAAATTTCATGGAAGGACCTGGAATTAGTCAGAAGAGCCCAAGAGACCAGTCCATTTGTATCAAAGTCCAAGTTGGTTTTTGTAGTTTTTCCACAACCATTATCCTAAAGTCGTTATCAAGCATGGACTCAGGATGAAAGATCGTTTCAAGATTCAGTCAGGCTTTGGAATATAGTTGTTGATTTTTCAAAATTCCTGAGAGAAATTCTATAGGTATGCAGAAATTAAAGCAGGAAAGAATTATACATGAAATGAATCTAGGAAGAAAACAATCTGGATTCTCATTGCAACCCACATGCTACCTTCCTGACATTAGATTGACAATGGCTTGATTTTCATAGAATGAACCAACATCCCAATCTTCAGTTGAAGAGGAAAGTGTCATTAGTGCAACCACAATCGACCTCATGCTTGGCCTTACATGCGGATTTTCTTGTGTGCAAGCTCTGGCAAGCTGGGCCATCTGTGAACAAAACCAAACCATGACATTTAGTGCTGACCTAGTCCACCATGGACAAACTTGCATTTTCAGGAATCAAATATCACCTTGCAAACCGAGTCAAGAGGGTAGTCATCTCCAAGCCTAGCATCAACAAGCTTAGGGAGATTTTCTCTTGGATCAGGCTGTCCCAGAACTTCCTCAAACTGCAGCAGATCCAGGCATATATCTCAAGTTATCATAGCAGAAAAAAAAATGAGAGATCGTTTGTGTGCTAGAGCAAAGAGAATTAATGGAAAGAGTAACAACCAAAGCTACAAGTCCAATGGATTCGGTGATAAATTCATTTGTCTTGACAACAGCTTCCTTGGCGGATATCAGTTCGTAGAGCACAACTCCGAATGCATATACATCTATCTTGGAGGAGACATCACCATATTGAGCATACCTGGAAAGAAATGTCAAGATCAATCAAATCATTTGTAGCAACTAAGTCACAGACAAGTATCGCTGTTAGTGGAATCTCAAAACATCCTATTAACAGATGATTCCTATCTTGTAAGAAAATGAAACTAAAGTGTAAAAAAAAAAACTCATAATTCTATCCTGAGACCAGTTCTGAAACCATCTACAGTGAGAAAACTTACTCTGGAGGCATGTATCCGAATGTACCGACAAGGCGTGTGTGCAATGAAGCACTTCCAACTTCGGTAAGCTTTGTCAAACCAAAATCTGCAACCTGTACAAAATATTAGTTTGGAGTACTTCACATAAAAATACTTCAGAGGCTATCATAGGAATACAGGAAGATTGCGAACCTTTCCGCGGAAGTTTTTGTCTATCAAAATGTTTGCCGATTTGACATCACGGTGGATATATACAGGTACAGTATGCTCATGGATGTATTCAAGGCCTCTGGCTGAGTCCAAAGCTACTTGTACCCTAGTCGACCATGGCAATGGATCCTTACCCGAATTACTACGCAAATGTTGACTTAGATTTCCATTCTCAATGAACTCATAGACCAAGAATAGGGAACCTTCGACGCAATATCCTATTAAGCGCACCTGCCCAAAATTGTTTCGCAAGCGATATGATGGCCATAAGATGATTGAATACTTAGGTTGTATTTGGTTAGTATCTCAGGATGAAAGGGACAAAAACGTGCTTGTGTGGAAGGACGCAAAGAAAACCATAAAATAAATCTGACATTTTTGCAGTGTTTTTGTCCTTTCAAAACAGGAAGGACTCCATCCTTACTATTCTCATTTTTAGTATCTCAGGATAAAAGGGACAAAAACGTGCTTGCGTCGAAGGACAAAGACAAAACCATAAAATAAATCAGACATTTTTGCAGTGTTTTCGTCCTTTCAAAACAGGAAAGACTCTATCCTTACTATTTTCATTTTAGTATCTCAGGATAAAAGGAACGAAAACGTGCTTGATTGGAAGGACAGACAAAACCGTAAAATAAATCTGACATTTTTGCAGTGTTTTTGTCCTTTCAAAACAGGAAGGACTCTATCCTTACTCTTTTCATTTTTTCTTTCTCAAGACAGTAACCAAAGATTATCAAGGATCAAATGAGGTTAATTAATCAAGTTGTTTATTCAATAGAAGTTCCTGATTAACTGCTTAATGGTGACAAGTTCCTAAGCATGCCAGACATAAAAGGATCAAATATTAATTACCAGATTTAAGTGATGAACGTGTGTTAAGACCTTCAGCTCAGCGAGAAATTCTTTCGACGCTTGCATATCCATCTTCTTGATTGCAGCTTTCTGCAAAGACAGTAGGTGGAGGAAAGAGTGAGCCAAATCAGTGGTTAGTTTCAAAAAATTCAATCCTATTATGAGTTTCGTTATTGCGTTCTTGTAGATTTCTTAGTGATGAATCAATGAAGGATGAAGATCATGACTACGAACCTCGCCTCTTAGTTCAGCATAGTACACAGCTCCAAACCCACCTTGTCCAATCTTATTATCTATGCTGAAGTCATTAGTAGCCTTAGCAAGTTCTCCATAAGAGAACACCACAGATTTGTCCACTGTAAAACCTGTTAGCCCCGGTGAACCAACAAGAGCAGCTGTTTCCGAAGTCTGCTCCAATATATTTCCAGACCCTAAAACCATCGTACAGAAAAAAATTAAGCTAACCACAAGAGATACGAGGAATCCTACCAAGCCCTAGGCCCAGGGGCAGGGCTCATTGTGCAACTGGAACAGACACAAGCCTACAAGTGAAGCACTGCGTTGGTGCTTAGAGAATGATTCGAGAGTTAGCTCCCATCCCACAAGGATGTAGGATTGGGAGCAGCATTCGTTGCACAACATGAACAGTCATAGAGGTTACAAGTGTAACATTGCGTTGTGCATGTTATCCTCATCCTCCTCAGAAATTATTTCTTTTTTGTTTCTTAAATTCTAAGGAATAGGTTTGGCTGCGTCAATTCCTCATAGCCCCATATTGGGGACATGGAGCATTGCAAATCCTTCATCAGTTAACTAAAAAACTACAGAAATAAGTAGTTACCATGTCTGTGGTGAATATAGGGGCTTTCTGCTGCTTCTGGGAGCAATGATGCCTCAACCTCTCTCCTTCTATAAAATCCAAAGTAAAAACAAGATGCCAAAAAGAAAGCTCCAGCAACTCCTGCAACAGATATGCCTGCAATGACTCTGCTTGAGATTCCTGCTTGAAATGCCATGCATAACAACATAAGCTCAAGGCCTATATATCTTCACATTTCTTCATAAAAAAATATTGAGAGTTGAAGAAAATAGTACTCAAGGAAGACCAGATGATCCTACCAGTTGCACTGCAAAAAATAAAAAAGAATAAATGGTGATTGGACATGAGTCAAAAAATCGCAGCATTCAAGTTAGCAGAGAGGGAAGTATGGCTAGGGTGGTGGAGTCTTACATCTTTAGAGGAGGATAATTTCCAGTTGGATCTGTGGAACATGGAAAAGCCAAAAGTCATGGACCATAATGTACAAGAAATGAAAAATATGGGATCAAATTCAATGGATCAAATAAAAAATAACGGTTATACAACCGCCAAAACAGAGGGTTCTGGTCTGGGCTGGGCTGGGCTTACTGGCATTCTGTTGATGGGCCTGAACTATGTCTTATTTTGTATTATTAATTTTAGTCTGGGCTAAAAGGCAATTTGAGGATCATCAAGGGTTTTTTATCCATATCTGCTGTTTTGTTCTAAAACTAAAAACAATTGTTTGTTTTGATTTTCAATTTAAATTGTAATAATTGATATTTTTTAAACCATTTTGAAATAAAATATCATGATGAACGATTGAATATTTTACTTTGTTAAAAAAAAATAAAAAGAAACAAATTATGTTTTTTTTTTTTAAATAAGAAAACTATTTCTCACACCAAATTAGAAAAAAAGTAGTTACTGCTTACATTTTTCTTAAGTGATGAAATTAATGATAGCTCATTGTGGATTCAATGAGTTATCATAGTGATGAAATTAATGATAGCTCATTGTGGCTTCAATGAGTTATCATTTTATATATCGAATTTATTATTTTTATTTTTTAATTAAAATTAATTAATAATACAAGAAAATATGACTAGATGTGATATATATATAAATGATGCAGTCCTGATTAATTAATAGTTATATACACTCCTGTTATGCAATGATAAGTAAATGACAAATGTCTATGAATGTATAATCATCTGGTTACTTGTTTCTTGTTTCTTTCTCCATAATTTTATTACAAAAGACTAGAAATATATGCTTAAAAATCCCTTAATTAATTAGCAGAGGATACTGATCAATTCAAAAACGTTAATGGAATGTTTCAATCACGTACTAGCTCTCCCTCTCCCTCTCCCTCCCTCCCTCCCTCCCTCTCTCTACACACACACACACACGCACACACACACACATATACCGTATTGACAGGGCAACCTGCATATATTTGACAAGGTCTAGGGAATACAATATATATACACTAGAAAGAGACTCTTTGGGTGCAAGTTGGCAGAGTATATAATAACCACTATGCATCATGTTTCGACAAAAAAGCCAGATTAAGATACAAATTTTACATCCAAATGTCCAAGCCACAGCATTTTGGCTCCATGCAAGATACAAATTAACAGTATAAATTCTATATTTTTGTGGGGCCTAAAAGAATTAAGGTTAAAGAATATTACAGTTAAAAAGTAACTAACCTTTTGCCGGCACATAAACAATCCCACCCCCTGCATTAAAATTCGTCCCCAGGTTGTACTTCTCTAGAAAATCAGCCGGCACACCGGACTCCGTCTCTAAGGATGACAAGTTCTCGCCGGGCCGAAGAGGGTAGGTCGCGAACAATCCGTAATCCCTTGACACCTGCTTATCTCCACATGTACAGTTCACTGTTACATTAATAGGAACATAGTTTGGTATCTCAGTGATATCATAAATATTGACCCTGTGAACCCAATCCTCAGTGGTGAGGTTAGAAAAGGCATTCCCTGCAATCTTATGGTAAGTATCACCAGATTGAGTAATGTAAGAAAAGGTATGCCCTAAGAAATCACCATTTAAGCAATCACAAGAAAAGGGTACGTTGAGTCTTGTATCACTACGTATGCTATCTTGATTTGGGACATTAGGATTGTAACGAAGGATCTCAGTAATGCTCTGGTTGAAGATGGTGCTGATATAAGTTAGGTTTGATCCTTGCCATACATAATACGAAGCCAAGGCAAGGTCACAACCTGTTCTACACCTGGCTTGGACTTTGAAGACTAAGAAGAGAAGAACACAAGAGACTAACAACGTCTGAATGTGTGGATATCTAGAGGATGATGGGATCATTTTGCGGACCTAGAAGTTGGGATCATTTGAGGATACAAGAAGCTAAGAGGACTTGTTGGTAATGGTATTTGGTATCTAGTCTAGGGCTAATTTAATAACGAGGTTGGTTTCATTTGTTTGTTTATATGCACGGGACTTCTGTCATCTTTGTCGTCATGCTCTATCAATGATTCGTTGAAGGGAAGACCTCTGGAACAACTCTTGGGTGCTGAGGGGTGAAGGTGACAAAACTAATCCATGAATTTGTCACTATAATTTTAAAATTTGACTAGGAATAACATCGAACTAGTCATGAATAAAAAAATCAACTTAAAAAAATAATATTTCAATAAAAATTCAACTTAAAAAAATAATATTTCAATAAAAAACTTTTTTTTTAAAAAAAAATCAATAAATTTTTAACGGGTTTTATTTTAGAATGACCGGTGATAAATCGACCTAGCTAGTTTTTTTACTGAATTATCCTAGTATTTTCCTTTTTATAAGATTCTTGATGGAAGAAGAATCCAGGTTTTATAAATAGGATTGGCATGGCAATAGTATGAGACTTTGGTCATCAATGTCGCCATGCTCTATCAATGATTCGTTGAAGGGAAGACCTCTGGAACCACTCTTGGGTGCTGAGGGGTGAAGGTGACAAAACTAATCCATGAATTTGTCACTATAATTTTAAAATTTGACTAGGAATAACATCGAACTAGTCATGAATAAAAAAATCAACTTAAAAAAATAATATTTCAATAAAAAACTTTTTTTTTAAAAAAAAATCAATAAATTTTTAACGGGTTTTATTTTAGAATGACCGGTGATAAATCATCGACCTAGCTAGGTTTTTTACTGAATTATCCTAGTATTTTCCTTTTTATAAGATTCTTGATGTAAGAAGAATCCAGGTTTTATAAATAGGATTGGCATGGCAATAGTATGAGACTTTGGTCATCAATGTCGCCATGCTCTATTAGTGATTCGTTGAAGGAAATAATTTTGTAACCACCCTTGGGTGCTGAGGGGTCAAGGTGTGATGGTGACAGAACTAACCCATGGTTCATGGGCTGTTGGCATTATTTGTAGTGGGTTGATCTTCACGGCTCATAATTGATTTTGGCCCGACACTCCTCTCTTGTGTATTTATTGCTTCTAAATTCTAAAATTGTTCTTTAATTTGATATTTTATTACAAATTGTGAATTATCAATCAGCTTATCCTACCATTATCATATATTAATTTTTATATTACTATAAGTATACATAATACTCTCATTATATATATTTTGTTCCTTTATTCTTCTTAATGTCAATCATTTTGCAAATTTTGATGCCAAAGTGTTGGATTAGAACACAAGCATCATGCAAATCAATTTGTACAAGTAAATATAAGTTAGAAATAAATCCAAAAAACCTTTAAGGAATTATATATACCTCAATTTTAATATATACAAATTCTAGACCTTTTCAAATTTTATACGCTATTTGTTTCTATGCTTTTATCATTTCCTCAATTCTTTTCTTATAATGATATTTACCAATTGAAACTTTATTTTTTTTTACTATATATCTAAATTCACAAAAAGAAAAGCTTTATCAAGAACTTATTGCATTGATTTTATAAAGTTAAATACTCCATGCACCCACATGTCAGGAATATACATAGAGTAAAATATTTAGTTCTTGGAAAATTTATTATTACTAATGTTAGTAATAAATTGTATGCCACCATAAATCTAAGAGTTTGCTTGCTACATTAGTCAGTCAATAGATTCAAAAATAATATAAATTATATTTTAATATTTTATTTAATAACTTAAATTTTTAGATTAAATTAATTATTTAATATAATGTTAGACTCTTCACATCTATATATTTAAATTTTATTATTTTTATTTATTTAATAAAAATTAAATATAAAATAATACAAATGTGTAAATTTTAAACCTAAAAACTTAGGATTTTCTCCTGGGAAAGTTCTAGCAAGCTCAGCCATTTGTAAGCACAGTCATAGTATACACAAACCTGCATTTCCTGTTACAAAATTTCACCTTGCTCGTGGGTAGTCATCTCCATGGTTTGGATCGTCAAGTTGATCAGGCTGACACACAACATCCTCGGACTGCTGTAGAACCACACATATAACTCCAAGTTACTTTGTGCTTCAAAAAATGCACAGGACCTAATAGCATAGGCGCACATAAGTACCTGGGTAATTGATGAAATATCGAAAAATGCTGTTGAGCAAAATCTATCTTACCTTGTAAGCAAATGAAGTTAGGCAAAGTAAAGAAAGAATGTATTCAGAATCATAGGCCCAGCCCGGCCTTGCCTATTGGATGATATTGAAACTGATATAGAGGCGAAAGCTAAATACAACACCAATATATATATACAAATTTTAATGAGCAAAAAATACTGTAAATATAAACTTTAAGTTTACAGGTTTTTTTTTAAATAACAATCCTTCATTTTTTTTTAATGAGATTTACAAATTTTTAAATAAATCAAAAATTATATCTCAACTAAAAAAACAAAATAAAAATCTAAAATGACAAGGGATAAAAAAACATGAAATCTAAAAATAAAAAAAAATTATAAAAATTATCAAAACCAGAGTCTTTTAACAAGACTTTCAAAATTTAAAGATTCAATAAGCAGAATAGCGATTTCATGGAACCACATTTACTATAAAAACAACCTTTAAAAATTCTTTTAAATTTTTTAACGTGATCTAATAATTACTATAGGTAGAGTAGAGATTTCATGAAACTACATTTAAAGATTTTTGTGTTACTTTAATTTGGCATGACCAAACCTTTTTTTGAGTTCAAATTTATACCTAAACCTTCTATATTAATGCTGCAAATATAAGTAAACTGGAGCTTACTCTGGAGGCATGTATTCGAAATGTATGCAAAAGCACTTCCAAATTCAGTTATCTTTGCTCATCTAGAATCTGAAACATGTACAAAGTATTAATTAGGACTACGCACATAAATCAACTTCAGGGTCTATCCCATGAACACAAGAATATGAATGCGGAACCCCTCCATTGAAGTTTTATTTTATTAAAATGTTTTCTGATTTTAACGTCACGATCGACTGTAGGTGATGCAGGGGAAGATAGGGCTTCTCAAGGCTTAAAGTTACAATCTAAACTGCAGACAAAATTTGTTTAATATACTTTAAAATTTAATAATTCATAAAACGTTTCTAAAAATAACTTTTAAATTAAGTACTGAAACAAACATAGTTAAGGAAATCTAAATTGAATTAGGAATCCTCATTATAAAAAATAAAGAAAATCTCCGAACAACTTTTAGACGTAATTTAGACATAGATCCCGACTTTAACTGTAATAACCTTAGCTAGTTACATTAATCCGAACCTATAAAGAATTAGACTTGGAGTACATGCTGACTAATTTTCAACCAAATCCAACAATAGTCACGCGTCAAATTTACCCTACTCGGTCATGTCATTATGTGCATCAGGCTTAATTGATAACAAAGTTATTACGTTTTTTGGCAGTGGACTCTGCCGCTTGGGATAACAGATTCTTTCCGGACTGAGGCAGGTATGTCAAGAACAGTTTGGTTAATAAGGTACAATGTTAGATCTTTCATCTACATTTCAACTTCTGTAAATTTCATATAGATGGTCTCCTACGATCCATACGAATATTATAATATAAGCAGAAAATGTAGTAAGAATTCTCTAGTACTAGATATATTTCACCCCAACAAAATACAAACAACAAGTCTTGCCAATAGTAGAGAGAGTCATGTACTAGATATATTTCACCCCAACAAAATAAAAACATCAAGTCCTATCAATAGTAGAGAGAGTCATCAGCACTTCTTGGTAATCCATCAAGAAGAAGATGGACAAAATCTAAAGCTTTAGAGGTGCTGGAGTATAAGACACCAACACATATACATGTAGACAGCAACACGAAAGCTGGAGTATAAGACACCAACACATATACAGTGCTATATACATGTAGACAGGAACAAGAAGTCTTTTCTTCTTGGTCTTCATGATCATCTGCGTTAAACATTGTAAAGCCACGTCCGACTTCGCCACAGCCAAATATTCCTGCCATTGGGATTCCTGGAAGGTTATCCAAGAATGGTGAGCTATCCACATTGCTGTGTCCAAAGAATGATTCACCACGACCCCAACAAGAGAAAACCAAACCTCCAACTACTTCCTTACTACCAACACCACCTGCATGAAGCTGGCAGCTTCTCCAATCCAGTTTCAAGTTTCTGAAATTCTTGGAGACATTACTACATGAAGATAATGCGACCTTTGGATCTGAATGGTAGAAATGAAAATAGTCTCCAGAACCGATGCCATCTCCACTAACAAAAAGGTGCTTTCCATCTCCTCTGTTGACAAGCAATTAATCCATGTCTCAATATGAAGAGAATCTTTGAAAATATACTTAAAACCAAGCTAAGAAAAAAATCTCAAGTGCTTGGCAAACTTTCTGTAAAAAATACAAAGCCAACATATATAAATACTGGTGAAAGTTCAGCATCTCACCCCTTAACTTGATGTAAAGCCAGGGATCTCAACAGTTTTGGATTCTCTGACCCAACAACGCATTGTCTTTGTTTTGAAACCCCAATGAACAGTTCAGTTTTGTTGACCAACTGTCATATATTGGAAAAAAATCAATAGAGAAAACTTCATTCATGGAACTTTAAAGCCAGAAAAAAATGATATTGTTAAAGAGAGTAATATAAAACCATTAATAATAACTTTTTCAATAATTTATTATTTTTATTCTTTCTAATTAAATTAACAAAAAATTACGTATAACTATACAAATTTTATTTTTAAAAAACCTTTTATAAAAAAATAACATAAAATTATTTATAAATCTTACCGAATAGCTTCATATTTTAAATTGAGATGTTTATTCAAGAAGATAAAAAAACACTTATCTCATTTATAAAAAAGTTTCCAAATGTAAGAATAATAGCTATATTCCATATGAACATTTCAGATTATTGGCATGTGGGTTGAAAGAAATTCTTGCATGGCTTGATGCAGGGACAGCAAAAGTCCCTCGGATCCATTAAGGCATTAACCCATTCATAGATTCAAAGGGATGTGAATAATAAAAGGGTCAGAGTAAAAATTAAATTGAAGGGGTTGAAAAGGCTCAAAACTTAAAACGGCTGAATGGTTTTGAGTATGATAATTAGAGGTGATAGTGCAGTACTCCTGATGTAAAACTCCACTCACATAAAACTCTATCGTAAGGTTTGCATGCATGTCATATATGAACGAAAAATTAACCACAATTTCAGCCAAATTTAACATGAAAATGAGAAATCTATGCAAATTGTCTTAAGGCTTTTCGGTTAGTAGCAAAGCTGAAGCAAGTACGAGAAACAACTAGCTAAATCAAGGAAATCATCATACCGTAAAAAAATGGTTTTCCAAAAACTAGCATACCTCACTGTCGATGCTATCTATAATCATTTGACCACCAAGAATCTCTTGTTCTCCTTCTCTTCTGGCAGTAAGCCATGTAGTAAGACCTGTCTCAGACTGAGTTTCTTTAACGGAAACTGCCTTGTACCTTGGTCCTATTGCAGAAACACCACTTGATATTGCAGAATGGAATTGAATTTTCCCTTCACCTGCACATTAAGCCAAATGAAGCAGCAGAGATATAAGATAACATGTCATAATTTTAGGTTAAAAAAAAAGGCAAGTACATTGTGATCTTTCCATTCTTTTCTTTTATCTACGAGCGAAAAATATCTGAAACATTTCTTGATCTGTACATGTCATGCTAATTTCTTTTAATCTTTCCAAATTTATCGGAAGAAAACTCGTCATTAGATTTCAGTTTTCGAGAAGAATGAAATTGCAAAAACATAGACGAGTAAGGAGATACCAGAAGGTTTGTCTTCATCCCTTGCAAATACAAGAGCAACTGCATCAGTAAAATATTTTGTACTACTCCCATATATATTTCTTGACTCTATGCCCTTTCTGTACAGGAATTGGGATCTCATATTGCCGGCAATGATAGCTTCCCTTGACATGGCATGATCTGCAACATACAATATACATTTTTGAATTCAAGAACCAATACAGCAGATTTCTACTATGCAATTTATCAAGTCTGGTAACACATTTTTGAAATTTGACATCAAGAATTAATTGTCTTCTTAAATTATCAACCACGTTGATATGTCATGAGACTTTTGAGGTTAATCCACTTCATAATGACATATCCACCGATCTTTATATTCTTTCAATATTCTGATCATCCAGAAAAAAGACTCAAATATTCTGATCATCCAGTGATGGATTAGAAAGAAATTTTCGCTTTAGAGTAGCTGAGATTGATGCTTGTATATGTCAAATAAATATCATTGTGGAGAGAAAATGAAAAGGGTTTGAAGAAAATAGCTTTTCGAAGCTGAAAAATGGAGTAAACATATTTTATTTATAAGAAACAAGCTGAAGATTTTAAAGAGATTGGACTAAATTGTTTAGATTCTTGCCCTTATTTTACATTTTCCTACGAATAAAATTAAAATCAAACGCAAGAAGACTGGAACATCCCTTGTTAAAAAACTCACCCAACTTTTCCATGACAGGTTTTAGGTTAACCTCTTCACCCTGTAGCATTACAGAAGTCACATCTTAGCAAGAAACTCATACAAGAATGAAGCATGTAAGCATGCATATTAGCTTACTCCAAACATTATGATCAGAGCTGGTGATGTGGAACCAGAAACAGAAGCTGAATAATTCTTGATATCCACCACAAAGTTATCAATCATTGCCACTGGACCAGCCTGAGGTCACCATGTCAGCGAAAATATATTTAATTTATTGTCCACAAATCCAAAAATTTCGAATTTTTTCATAAACTAACACGGTAGTAAAAATTATTTTCTAAATATCACAACTAAAAAAATATTTTTAAACGGCCACAATTTTCAACTAATAAATTTCATTTCAAGTTTTTGCTCTCTCAAATACTTAAATTATGCAAGAGTCAACATGCTTTGTTATAAAGATCCAAGGACATGAAATAAATCAACATAATTTAATGGCCAGAAAGAAACAATGACACGGCAAAAAAAAGAGCGTCGGAGACATACTGGAGTTTTGTTAATGAAACTCCAAGTACAAAAAAAAAATAATATTTGAACACATGCGGTATAAAAATAATAGCATGCTCATTTGCTAGTATTTAATTGTAGCTTTGGAGTTGACTTTTCATTATATTTATAAATTTGTCTAATCAATATTATTATAAAATTTTTAATAAATATTAACAATTTTTTTGTCTAATCAATATCGACAAATTTTTTCGTGATTATTAATGTATTATATAGAAAATATACTATATAAAAAATATTATAGACATACTCTTATATGGTAACTTTCATCGTTGTTATTGTATATTGTCCTATATATATATATATAAAGGGTTGGCTAACCATTAGGTTAAGTCTCTAAATTATTCTCAACTTGATATCAAAGCTTTCTGTTGCTAGGACTCTTCCCCTCCTCTTCTTCTTTGTAGTCGACATCCTCTTTTTCTTCCCTAAATGGACTATGTTGTTGCTACTGCCTACTCCCCCCACCAAAACAGCAATGCAGCCCAACTAGCTAGCCATTCTAAAGTTGCTACTACTGGTTCTTTCTCCCACCACCAACAACCCCAACTTGTATAGTCAAACCTTGGCTTTTTCTCTCATGTTTTTGTCGTTCCCTTGCACATCATAGGGACAACGACTCCTTTTATCATTGCATTGTCTAACACTCATCAAGTGATCTCATTGAAACTTACAACCACCAACTATCTCTATTGTAAATGCGGATGAAACTGTATCTTCTTGATTAAGGTGTTTTCCACTTTGTTGATGGCTTAATGCCATGTCTTCCCTCTCATGTTTCTGATGGTTTTTCTTTAGCACTTAACCCTTCTTTTCTCCATTGGAAGTAACAAGATCAGCTTATTTTAAGCGCACTACTCTCCTCTCTCTTTCCATGGTCGTCCTACATCTTGTGGTTGATTGTCAAACTTTTTGTGTTTGGCGCACTCCTGAGATAGCACTTGCTTCTCCATTAAATTCTCGTATTATGCAACTCCATGGGTCTTTTCAAGATCTTCGACAAGGAGATGCTGCAGTTACTACATATATGTAGCACGCCAAGTCCTTGTTTGATAAATTGGTTGCTGCTAGCCAGCCCCTCTCTCTTGAAGACTTCAACCTCTATATATTTCGTGGTTTTCATGGTGAGTTTAAAGACATGGTAACTAGTCTTATGATCAAGACAGAACCACTGTCATATGCGGACCTTCACAACCACCTTCGTACTCATGAGTTTTTGCATAAGTCTTCTCTTCCATCCTTGGCTGCAACTCTACCTTTGCTGCCTACAACATCTCTGCTACCCTTTGCTCATCTTGTACAGCAGTAGACTAGCTTTTATTTTAGTTGTAACAGCGGTCATTCATGCGGCAGCTGGCACTCCAATAATAACAGGTACAATAGCCATGACAGCTAATTTTCGTGGCCCTTCTTCCTCTACTTCCATGGATAAGAAGCAAAATCACTAGCAGTAGAGTAGACGACCTGTTGCTGGTAGACAGTGGCCTCTTCACCGATCTTTTAAGCAGTACGTCAAGTGCTAGTTATACTTTTTCTTCGACCACACAGCCTTATAATGTGCTCAGTTTTGCAATAGTGGTTATCAACCTTTTGCCCACCTTGTTGTTGGTTCGGTTTCTACCTCTACTTGGTTTTTGGATATTGGTGCAAACCAACATGTTACTCCTAATCTTGCAACTCTGACTAATTTTGCACCCTATTTTGGTAATGATCATATGCATGTTGGTGACGGTAAGAGCCTCTCTATATCTCATATTGGCCATACCATCTTACGTTCCCCTAAATACACCTTTACATTATCTAATGTTCTCCATGTTCCTCACATTACCAAACCATTGCTACCTATTCAGAAATTTTATTATGATAATAATGTTTATTTTAAATTTCACGCCTTTATGTTTTATGTAAAGGAACTCACCAATCAAGCAGTGATCTTTTCTGGTAAGAGCAATGATGGTCTCTATGTTCTCTTAGAGTCTTCTACTACCACCATTCCTCAAGCTTATTGGTCTCCTTGCATCTTTGTCATTGCTGATCTATGACATCGTTGATTAGGTCATCCTACATCTCGTATTTTTAATTTATTAGTTTTTAAAAATAAAATATTATGTACTTCTAGACACTCTTTTGTTCAATGTCAAGCTTGTTCACTTGACAAGTCTTTGCGTTTGTCATTGCGACCTATGAGTCACAAAACTGCTACTTCACTTGATTTAATTTTTAGTGATGTTTGGGGCTTTGCTCCTATGTTTTCTTCTGATAGTTTTCATTATTTTGTTATCTTTGTCGATGCACATACCAAATGTATATGGTATTATCCGCTTGTTGCCAAATATGATGTCTTTCCTATTTTCAACGTTTTCAAACATTTGTTGAATGTCAGTTTTCACTTAAAATTAAATCTACTCAAACTAATTAGGACAGTGAATATCGTAAATTAAATAGTTTCTTTCAAACTATTGGTATTCATTACAAATTAATCTGTCCTCATACACATGAGCAAAATAGAAGTGTTGAGCATCATCATCATCATATTGTCAAAACTGGTCTCACACTTTTAGGTCAATGTAGTGCTCCATTACGCTTTTAAAATTATGCATTTGAATCTTTAGTCTATCTTATCAATCGCATGCCTACTCATGTTCTCTAAAATCAGTCTTTTTTTAAATGTCTATTTAATCGTCCTCCTGATTATGATTTTCTATATACTTTTGGGTGTCTTTGTTTTCTGTTTCTGCATCCGTATCATGCTCATAAGTTGGATTTTTGTTCCTCCACTTGTGTATTCTTAGGTTATAGTTTCTCACACCTTGGTTATCGTTGTCTCAATTCCAGCTCTCAATGTATATATGTTTCTTGTTATGTTCATTTTCATGAGAATGTGTTTTCTTTTGCAAATTCTAAACAGCTAGGAAGAACCCTAGCTCCTTCCTCACAGCCCATACACTTACATAACCTGTTTACCCACCATAATTTTCCCCATATTGCCCCACAACATGCCTCACCTGGCAGCTTTGTCACACCCCTAGCACTAACCAAACAACCCCATCGCCCCCCACCACTGTAAGCCACCATACCACCGCCACCCAACCCTACCCTTCTATCACCATCTGCATGTTTCTCTAATAATTATTTTATAGGAACATGTTTGATTGATACTTAAAAGTGTATTTTTATCAAGGTTTTATATCATCATTTTGCACTTAAAGTATCAATAACTCCTTAACTAAAGCATGTTTTATAATAATATATCTAATAATATAAGATACCTTTAATTTATGGTAAATGTTCATTTTAAATATAGGTCTCTCACATAAATGAAAGGATTGATTGATGACATTAAGAACTTAAATTGCAAAGAGATGGCCAAACTTAGAAAAGAGATGTCGGTGCAGTCCAAACCGGAACACTAGTCTGTAATTGGGTCATGTCTGGAGCTATATATCTCAGATTTAGGTCCAATTTATATGGATGGAAAGGTAAGACATAGGCCTACAACTTTCATATGGAGCCCAAGATCTAAAAAGGCCATTATCAAGTCCAAATAGTAGCAACAACAAAGAAGCCCGAATCTGTCTTCCAGCCCGAGCACTGTTCGGTATTTTGGCCATATCTGGAGTTCTAGAAGTCCAAATGAGCTGAATTGTTTACACAAGAAAGCTGAGACAATTGCCTACAACTTTCATGTTTGCAACTGGCTCCAATTTTGACGTTATCAATGACGTTTTGGGCAGACAAAAGAAGATAAGGATTGTCACCAAGTCAAAAGTTGGTCACCCACTTATCAATTAGTCATCAAATCAATAGTTCCCAATTTTGGCCTATAAAAGGAGGCATTTGCCATGCATTTAGGCATCTTGGTTTCCAGATCAAGATCATGCTCTTCCTTTCTCTCTTTGTATTTTTTATGCTTTGTTTTCATTAATATTAAGTTTATGCCTTTCATTTCCTTTCCTTTACTTAGTTAACTTTTATGTTCTTATTTTGTTTATCTATTTTGCTTTCTTTCATTATGTCTAGCTAAGTTAATTATGTCAAGGTGAAAAGGTTACACTAATGGTGTAAGAATAAGTATAATGTAAACTTAATATGGACTTTAATGTTTGATACTAACATGTTTTATATTTGTTATCTTGTTCACTCTTTACTGTTGTTGTTATTGTTGTTTTATAATTGTTGTTTTTAATTTGTACAATTAACCTCCCTGTGGTTCGACCCCGGTCTTGCCGGGTTATTTATTACTTCGACACTCCTACACTTGGGAGAAGACATCAATCTTTTAGTCGTGCCAAGGTTCACCTCATTCAAGGTCGTATATTTGCAGGTCTGTTACTGCAGCCCTATCTGATTCTACATCAAGCTCTCCTAGCTCTGCTACTGTGAGCTTCGGTCTTTCCTTTGCTTCTCCTCCAGGTTTGCAACTTTATGTTGATATCTCCTCTTATCCTTTTTAGTAGCTCCCTAGTTTAGGTCCTTTTGCCCCTCAGTTTGTTGTTCATCAGCATCCAATGGTTCTTCATCTACGATTGTCAAAGATTGCTCTTATAACTGCGTTTGTTGCAGCCTCTACTGCACCCAACTACCGAGTACTATCTTCTTCTACTTGTGAGCCCTTAACCTTCTTTGATGCTGACAGGTATGAGGTGTGGTAATGTGTCATGCATGATGAA